ACATAAAATGCAGACAATAAAAATGATTAAAAACAGATAAAAACAAATTAAAATGAGTTAAAGTAGGTTATAAAAGAATGAAAAAGAAAACGAAAAACATAATAGTGCGATCTGACGGACGTAGCACAGTGCTCATACAGTAAAGGCACAGTTAAACCGATGTGTTTTCAGTCTCGATTTGAATGTGTCTAATGTTGGAGCACATCTGATCATTTCTGGAAGCTGATTCCAGCAGCGAGGAGCATAGTGGCTGAAGGCAGATTCACCCTGCTTTGACTGAACCCTTGGAATTTCTAGTTTATAAGATCCTAAAGATCTGAGTGATCTGTCAGAAGAAACAAAGGTTTTTATGCTCATGTTGGAATTCATTCGGTTAATGTGTTTCCATTGTAGTTTACGCAGTTAAGTCTTTTCCTATTGGTTAGAAAGTTTATCTTACTCAGTTGTACTTTTTTATGTGCATTTTCAAAATTGTTGGAGCATTTAGCATTTCCATTAGGCAGTTTTATGTGATATTCCAAAATGTGCATAAAAAGGAGGATGAAAACAAAGCTACTGATCTATAGTAGAGAATATACTACATACTGTATTTTATATATAGATCAGTAGGTGGAATTCATGGATGGAAAGTCAACTCTTGTGGGTTGTCAGTTACAAGACACAATTGATGCACATTTTTGTTCTCAGCTTTCTATTAGCAGAGTAAACAAACCCTGCCATATTTTCTCGTAATTTATCAAAAGTATGCACAACACACCACCTTGTGCTGACGAAAGTAACTTGAACGCAACTGACATCTTTATTACAACCTCTCAACTTGTAAGTAGGAACAGCCCTGGATTACTTGAATGCAGAATTACATGTGGTTTGTCAGATAAAGATATTACCACCGGGTGTCAGATTAACACCAGTAACTGTGAGTTATCTGAACATGTTCTGTGTTCTTTCTCAAATATTTCATTCTGTTCTTCAGAATATATTCAACTCCTAAAATATGCTTAAAAATGTATCTCTTACTCCTGTCAGGATTACTTCAAATAGGACAAAGCAGGAAATTGTATTGTTCTCTCATTTTGGTCTTCACTGATATATAACATAAATCAGAGTCAGTTTTGTCTGGCTGAATGCACTACAGAAGGTTAAATTGAGACATGGAGAACATCTACTGTCAGCAAGATCACAGGTACTTTCCGTCTTTACTGCCTGTAGATAATACGGGCTGTCTTTCAACATTTTATCCAGCCACAAACCTGGCCAAGTCCTCTGCTCTTTGACCTGGCAAGAGCTTCCTCATATTTCAGTACTAACTTTATTCCCAGGTAATTGCATTGGTTCAAGCTTTAGCGTGCCAGCAATACTACACATTAATCAATACTGGAATAAACTTTGTGCCTTCCAACTCTGCAGAATATTTGCACTGTGGTGTATTTCTGTCACGTTCTAGACAGCAGCAGTGTGGCACATGGTTTGTTATTTGTGAATGGCAGAAGTCAACTGTGAAAGGATGAGTGCAGAACGTCAGACAAACAGTTATGCAACAGGAGGGATCAAGAGGGTTTGGCAATGCAGTAATGAGGGCTTAATCTGTGCAAGGCAAAGGCTTTAATCTCCCGGTTCATCCTGTCTACTCAAACACACTCCAGCTTGAGCCAGTCAATGTCTGTCCATAGGCTAAATAATATACTACATTACTCTTGATCATTATGACGTATGATAGGGAATGGAATTACATGGAAATCTTTAAATATTGCACCATAAGAGGCTTTTTATTAGATGAATGTCTGATGGAAGGCTATTTTTTCACACGTAGATCCTCCACTTGAGTTTTCTCAGTGATGGTCATAAGATTGAAGCAAAATAGAGTCCAACTTGTACTGTTTTATGCTATGAGAAGACTCAAACGCCAAGCCTGTGGACTGTTGGCTAAACTTTAATTTGTGTCTAAGGTTCATAAACACAAAATTGGGAATCGGTCAGGGATTTGCAATAAGGATATGAATAAGGATGTGAATGCTGTTTTTATAGCTGTCTGCCTGTGCTTCCAGGGTTTGGGTTTAATTCAGAAACAGGATGTGCCAAAAAAAGTGTTTCTAAATCACATACTACTATCTTGACTCTGAAGTACACATTTGATGGACACTTTAGTATCCCACTAAATAAGGTTTCAGTAAACAGAGCTTTATGTCATAATTACATTAGCTCATGGGTCCACAGAGACCAACATCTAGCAGTTAAATCTTAAAACAGTGTTTAAACAATTTATACTTTATCATAATTCAGTATTCAGCATTTATGGACATTTTAATATCAAATTTGTATAATAAAAAATGAACAGTAGTAGTTGATTGTTTCTTGAAAGGTTGGAAACTAGGGAGGCAATGTTTGATTTTGGTTGTATGATTGTAGCTTGCTGTATTCTTTCAACTTGGTGTACTTGGAAAGCATGCGTGCAAGAGTCCGTTGTGCCACGTGGTATGCGTCACTTCCAAAATAACAAATTTGCACACGGAAAAGACGCAATATGTGAATGGCTCTTAGTTGATAGCCTTAGCTATAGTTAATTGTCTGTGCATGGGTATTAGCCTTGGTGTACTAGCTCGAATTTTTAAACTTGCACACAGTTGGCATAACTTTGTTTAGTTCCTGCAGTTTTGTTCCGTGCAGGAACACGGTGTTGAGAATCCTTTACGGTTAATAAACCATGACAAATTAAAGTGCAGTTAATATTGAAATTGGTTAATCGTTAATCACCAAAAATTTAAATTCTGTCATTAATTACTTGCCTTCATGTCATTCCAACACCCTGAGATGTTCACTTCACAACCTGAATTAAGATATTTTAGATGAAATCTGAGAGCTCCCTCGTCCTCCATAGACAGCAGTTGTCCCGAGCCCTTCAAAGTCTAGAAAAGAAAGCAAAAACATGGTCAAAACATTCCATGTGACTTCAGTGGTTTAACTGTAATCATATGAAGCTCTAAGGACAATTTTATGTGCCTAAAAACTATTTTCTAATCAAATGTCTTCTCTATCAGGTCATCAGGGTGTGTGTTTACTACAGGAATCCCAACATAGGGTCCTATCATAAACCCGGTGCAATGTGGCGCAAGGCGCGACGCAATTGTTGTTTGCTAGTTTCAGCTTGTCGCAAGAGTCGTTTTGACGTTTTGCATCATGCTGTTTAAATAGTAAATGCATTTGCGCTCAAATGTGCGGCCATAGGCGTTCCGGTCTAATAAGGGAGACGTGTTGAGGTGTATTACTAACGAGTTGCTATTTTGAGAAACTATAATAGATTTTTCAATAGACCAGAACAAAGTCGGTCTATTGTCCAGCACAGAGCGCGTTAGTTGTGCGCCTTGCTTACACACTGCTTAATACACACAAGATGTAGAGCAATACGCAAATATCTTTACATATATATAAATATATATAACTGACAAACATATTAACAACAATACAACCGTATAGCCGAATTAAATGTATGTATTGGCATGTTACAGCCCTAATGAGTATGTGAAACTATAGATACTTATTGCCATGATTTCGGGTACTTACTTAGCGATGCACGCACACATATATGCACAATCCTTGAATGCTCTGCTGAGTTGGACTCTATAATACCCGTTTTATAACTTTAAACTATCAACAACCACCAATGAGCTATATTCTATTGTTCTTCCCGCTCCGTGGTGGATTTTGGCATAGTCCATTTCACGTGAGATGGCGGGGGTGAGTGGAAGAAACCAAGTCGCAGGGGGAATAGTTTCTACAGAAATAATTTATGATTTCTTATGTGGCCTGGTACAAATTGTTCCACAACCCGGTACCTGGTGGTTGGGGACCACTGGTCTACAGAACAAACCATCATTATACAATAACTTGCCTAATTACCCTAACCTGCCTAGTTAACGTAATTAACCTAGTAAAGCCTTTAAATTGCCCTTTAAGCTGTATAAAAGTGTGTTGAACAATATCTAGTAAAATATTATGTACTGTGATCATGGCATCATACAATGAAGACTATATAGCAATATTTAGCTTTAGTCTATCACAATATGTATTGAAGAGAAATAAATAATTAATGCCAGTTTTTTCCCAATATGGTGAAGCCCCAGCCTATACATGCACTCTGATTTTTACATGGAAAACATTGGTGAACAGTTTTAGTTTTTTGCCACACAAATGGGTTCTCGAAGCTTCATGTGATTTACAGTTTTACTACTAAAGTGACAAAGTGTTTTAACAAGGCTTTTGATACCATTTATGGACACTGCACATCTAAGAACTGTTGCTGTCTATGGAGGGTCAGAGTGCTCTTGCATTTCACCTAAAATATCAAAACTTGATTAAGAAAGCTCTCCATGCTAAATTGCAATCAAAATCCACTGCATAAAACATATGCCAGAATAGTAGGCTGTTCATTCCGCTGTTGCGATCTCTGAAATAGAGACTAAGCCGAAGGAAAATGAATGAATGAATGAATGAATGAATGCTGCTGGTCTGGTTGTCAGCAATAACCTGGACAAAACAGATATAGGCTATATAGACTAGTATTTCATTATACTAGTATACTAGTATAATGTATCATAACAAAAAATAACCTCAGTAATTTCCATGAATGATAACTGAATGTGTAACCAATGTAATGTACAACTATTTCACAATGCTATGTTAAAATAACTGTGTGTGTTTGTGTGTGTGTGTGTGTGTGTTAGTTAGTTAGTTAGTTAGTTAGTAAGTAAGTAATTAAGTATTCAGTTGTTAGCATGGCCAGAGCCTCTATAAGCAGGTGTGACTATTAATGACCTGGATATCCGGATTCAGTTTGTGTGCTCTAGCTGTGTGATTCTCTTTGACAAGCTGAGTGAATGGACTCTCACTGCCGGTCTGGGAGATATTGAGAGAGATGTGCCCTCTGAGGCCCTTCTGTGTGCTTGACAGCATCCACACATAGCACTCCAACAGCAGTCTCATTCTTTCATTCCTCTCTCTTTCAGGCTACATTCTGAGTCTGGTTCTGCTCACTCTACCCCGACAGCACCTGGTGCAGCTCTACCTGTACGTGCTCACTGCCTTGCTGCTGTTTGCCGGACACCAGATCTCCAGGTGAGACTTTAGAAGTTTAATAGAGGAGACTGACTGAATAGCAGACACTATATATATCATGCCTGCTTGCCAGAAATGCTGTGTTTGTAAGGTATGTAATGGTTAAAATCGAATTTGGAGGGAAATTTGCATGGTGAAAAAGGTCTGTTGTTCATTGTCAGTAGTTTTACAATGGCTTTTGGTCAACAGAGCAATATCATGAGACCAACTTGAACATTGTACAATATCCGCATAGTTAAAGGGTCACAAACCCCCTTTATATGATGGGCGTGAAGCGCCATGAGCAGAGGTGAGAGGTGGGCATAGCCAGGAAAGCAGGGGAAAAAATGAGGGGGTAAAGCCCAGCTCAGACTTAAAAAATAATCAAACCTAAAGGTGAGGAGATGCATGATTTTATATTTACAAAGTTAAAATGCAACAAAATAAACAAAGTATTTCAATGCCTTGTTACTTATGTACACTATAATATTTACAGTATAAATAAGGAGGACTTCTCTCCTAAATCCCTGGGGCTATATGCAGACAAAGTGGTAGCATTACTACAGATTCCTTGACCTATTCAAACAATTAGCCCCTCCGGTAATCTGGAATATTTTAAACATGGGCAAATACAACAGCATGGATAGGCAATGTGTCTAAATGGTAACAAACTTAACTGATAAAAGACAAAGTCCGCCTTTCTCATACAGCTCTCACCACAAAAATGCTGCACGAAAACAGCTTGGCTGAATCTGTAGCCCTGATAGCATTGCAGGGAAAACTATGCAACAAACCCTGTGGATCATGGAAACGCACACACAACTCTTCATGAATAGTGTGCACGGCCGAGGTGTCACAGATGACGGGTCTGTCTTTAAGCAACTGCATCATGAATAATTAGGAAGCAGGGCCCTCTCATAGGATACGAAATCTCAGTCTGTGAATAATACGTAACAGATTTTGATTCCACCCCAATAATGATTTTAAACCTGGAAGATGACAAAAAGCTGATGAAATCTGAAAATTATCCAGTAACAATAAAATATCAAATAAAAAAAACTCCAGGGTTTCTTGAACCTAGTATTTCAACCTTATGCAAAAATTCTTAATTTTATAAATTGTTATGATCAGTTATTCATCTGAAAATTCACTGAACAGTGGTTAATGTGGTATATTATATTATATTATATTATATTATATTATATTATATTATATTATATTATATTATATTATATTATATTATTATATAATATATTAAAATATTATGTTATATTATATTATATTATATTATATATATTTTTACTATTACTAATATAATTTAATATTACAATTTATTATTGCACTATTGTTATGTGATGGCAAAGCTGAATTTTCAGCACAAATTGTCTTTAGTGTCACAGCATAATTTTCTGATATTTTGATTTGGTGCATTTCTTATTATTATCAATTTTACAATAGTTGTGCTGCTAGACATTTTTTTGTAGAAACTGTACTGCATTATACAGGAGTGTTTGATAAATGAAAAGTTTAAAAGAACAAAATGTATTTTTAAGCTTCTTTTGTTCATCAGGACTGCTGAAGTGTTCTTCCTAAAAAAGTAATATTTTGTATTGTGTTCAATCATACTGTTTTTATACAAGCCCCTTCAAATCTTATATCTTTTAATTACATCTTATCTTATATTATGTTGTAATGTATATCTTATATTATTCCATTTTGTCATTCTAAAACTATAATGCTGTTTCTTTTTCGTGACAAACAAAAGTAGTTTTGTTCCTTTAATTCTATTTTAACAACAGCAGTATATACATAAATATGTATTATTTCTTTCTTTAATGTTTTTTCTTTTTCACTTCTTTATTAAGTTAATCAATTGTACTTGTTTCAGACTGAGATTGAACATTTAAATATTTCTGCACCAAGTGATTTCTTTAAAAGCTTTGAAGTTAGAAAGACAACTTTAGATCCAAGCAGACAGGCGCGTTGCTTTACTGGAGGTTCTGTTGCCATGCTTATGGGTCCGCGATTATAGTGTGGTGCTTCGCACTTGACAGGTGGCTGTTTAGTGTCAGATTAAGAGAGAGAGCTTTTAGCACATTTCTCAGCATAATGTGTGTCTGTAGAAAAAGCAGCAGTTGCTCAAATTAAGATCACCCAAGTGTAGCAAAGCCATTACTGCCAGCTCGTAACTTACCTGCTTCACACCATTCCCTCTCTGCCTCTAGACTTTCAGCACAGACAAGCTCAGTAAAGAATTTAAGAAAGCATTGTAAATGTTTCTTCAAGCATGTATGTGTGTGTGTGTGTGTATGTGTGTTATAAACTGGGTCATTTTTACCCTGAAAAGGTTTAGTTATATCTAAAGCCATTCTAATATTCAAAATGTCCACATATTATAAGACGGTGTATTCACATTTTTAGTCCGTTTGTCTTTGGTATATATATATATATATATATATATATATATATATATATATATATATATATATACACACACACACACACACATATTTTTTAGTAGGCTTGGAAAAAAAATAAGATTTAGTCTTTAATTCAACTAAACAATATGTTTAGTTATGATGTTTAAGTTTCAAGTGATGTAAATATGAGGATTTGCAGGTTGTTTAGTGTATAGAAAACAAACATGTTAAATTAAATTCAGATAGCTAATCAACATTGATGTAAATTTGTATTAAAAACATATACAAAAATGCAATTGATTCATATGGCTAAATTATTTGCACTTGGTCTACATATGTAAGGCTGAGTCCAAAGATGCAAAACAAACAAACAAAGCTTTTAGGATGTTTATTTTGTGACAACTTACCGAATGTCTTTCCATTGAGAAAAAAGCATCATCATTATCACAAACCATTGGTGCTACAAAAATGTTTGCCAGTAGAAACAAACTTTTCCAAATTGAACTCCAGTAATCAATTCCAAGGATATACTGACATCACACCATTTTTGCTCGAAGAATATTCGGGCCTCTAAGAACCATTTTATTTTACGATACTGTGTCCTGGATTATAAAGCTTTAAAGGGGTGGTCCACTACGATATCATGTTTTAAACATTAGTTGATTTGTAATGTAGTTGTGTGAACATAAACAACATCTCTGAATGTAATACATTTAATGCAAAGGGAGACATTGGCTTTTACAGAGTAAAAAAATAAAAAAGCCTACACAAAGTTTGGGGAGTACAAAAAAAATATTTTCAGGCTAGTGAGATCACAAGGGCTTCCGGTTACGCGCATTCACCTTGTGCACACACCATGCGCAGCAAAGGGGCATGGCCAGAGGCCCTGTAATCCAAAAGCTGCTATTTCTACAGAGCTTCTACTGTTTCTGTTCTTAAGCTTCCAAAGGATGTGACGCAAAGAGAGAAGTGCATACAATTTATTTTTAATTATGTTACAGAGATTTATATATATAGCATTTGACAAAGGAGAACTTCCAGAATCTCTCCCGGTTTAGTTTTGGATTCTACTAAAACTCCTCCAACTGATGAAGCTGTGGATCGTGAGTCACAACTTATAAGTATTTTTATTTGTTAAAATTGATCAACTACATGCAGAGTGTCTAGTGTTAACAGTATGTTGTAGCGAGGGCATAAACAAGGATGTAAACAACGGGAAATGCTGTTTGGCACTGCTAACAATTTAGCTACAAATTCATATTTATCGGTCGAACCCCTGTAAACATCCACAATCTTCAGTCTCTCTATGCGTGTGTGTCTCTCTATGTGGCTGCTTGCATTCTACATCTCAAATAACAAATTCACAAAAGATATAAGAATGTTTAATATTACTTACAAATTCTCATTCCGAATATATGTGAAAGACACTTGTCAAGAGTTTATTTTAGAGAGCAGGCGTGAGCTGTGTGCTCCTCATTTCTGTCTGATTCAGGCAGCTAACGCTGCTTTCAGCTGCTCTGACGAGACTGTTTACACAGCGCAAAAATACGTGCTTGTAGGGGAGTGATGTGGAGCCAATCGGTGAATCACAACATGATGTTAGCGGACTAATCAGAGCCTCTTGAGGACGGGCCTTTCAGAGGAACTAGGAAATATGACAGTCGTTTTCATGTTAGCTGAGTAACTGTATATAGTCAAAGTAAGATGTATGAAAAAATAATGTGATTTTCTACAAGTGAAGCATGAGCACACATTACTTTGCATCTTATAAACAGAACCAAGCCTTAAAATACACTGTGGACCACTCCTTTAAATACATTTGAAGTCATAACAGAGCAAGGATTTTTTTTTCCCAGTATTTCCTACAATATTTTTTCTTCTAGAGAAAGTCTTGCTTGTTTTATTTCAACTAGAATAATTGTTTTAAACCCATTTAAGGTCAATGTTATTAGCCCCCTTAGGCTATATTGTTTTTCAATTGTTTACAGAACTAACCACTGTTTTACAATGAATTGCCTAATTCCCCTAACGTGCCTTATTAAACTAGGTAAGCCTTTAAATGTCACTTTAAGCTTATCTATCTAGTAAAATATTATGACCTGTCATCATGGCAAAGATAAAGGAAATCAGTTATTAGAAATGAGTTGTTAAAAATATTATGTTTAGAAAAGTGATGAAAAAAATCTTCTTTCTATGAAATTAAACTGAAATTGGGGGAAAATATATACGGGGTCTAATATAATTTAGGAGGGCTAATAATTCTGACTATGTAATTGCCAAAGTTAGAAATCTACAGAAAGTTATTTTACTTTTTAAAAAATAAGCTGAATTATAATTCCTGAAGCCCCTGCAGTAGTGCGGAGCCCGTAGGGGTTGCACACCCTATTTTAAATCTCCTTAGCTAAGGCTAAAGCATTATTTTCAACTTTGTGATTGTCAGTGGTGGTTGTTTTTGTGCTCAGTGGGACTCAGCTGAATGTTATATAAGCGAATGTTCTCTCAGGAATTGCAGTCTGATAAAAGCAGACGGACTGATGGTTCCAGCGCTCTGCTCTGTCTGATTCAGGCAGCGAGTATGGATCCTCCACAGGCCGTGATGACTCAGGGGGAATGTCACACTGTGAGAGGTTAGAATAAGGTCTCTGTTCTCTGTTTCAGGGACTATGTGCGCAGTGAGCTGGAATCTGGCTACGAGGGCCCGCTGTACCTGGAGCCTCTGTCTATCAACCGTTTCACTACTGCGCTCCTCTGTAAGTGCAGGACATCACACTTTATACAGTCATCCTGAAATCCTGTTCATGACTCGTTATTACTTTTGTTATATGAATGATTTCTGTGCATTTGTATGAAAACTGTTTGACCGGATTGTGAAAAGTGCTTGTTCACTCCAGGTGGGATTAGGGATAGCAGGTTATCAATTTTGAATGATAGAGGCTAATTCATAGTGTCATTACATGCTAGTTTACTCGTAAATATTTTTTTTATTCTATTAATTGATGATTATAATATGTTAACTTTGTCTAAAATATCTTATTAACATATACAGTTAAGTTAGCAAAATGTAAAAACATTTTTATTTATATAAAAAATTTTTACATACACTGTAAAAAATGCAGGGTTCCACACAATTCATTCATGTTGTCCCAACACAAAATGTATTAAGTTAACTAAACACTTTTAACTAATTAATGTGGATTGAACATAAATTAAGTTGTCCCATTGAAATCTGAGGAATTGTGTTGTTTTAGCTTATTTTAAATAAGTAGTTTGAATTAGTAAAATAAATAAATAAATAAACATGTTTTTGAGTAGGCCCATAGCCAGGGGTGGTTTGGAAGACTCACCCCTCTCTGACAAAGGTCCAGAATTTGTCCCATACATGAGCTCCTATTTTAACTGCTATCCCATCATAAATAGTAAAACTAACTCATTGAAAAAGGCTTTAAGCACAAGTGGAATTCTCTTGGCCTTAAATGAAATTTTCTGTTGGCTGTCGCTTCAGCGTGACTTCAGCTCATCAGTTTTGGCCAAAAACAAATATTTTTCATGAGTCCAATATCTGAATCTTGGACCTTATTTAAACAAAAAAATGAGCATCAAAAATGTGTGGAGCACTAAAAGCAGACCATTTGAAATTGATTTGAAAACTCTTTTGGCTATTGTTGTTATCCATGAAGTTTCATACTGTAATTTTTTTACAAGAGAGGCTAGAAAAGTTGTGAAGTTCTACATTATTATTATTATTATTATTAATATGTCTTAATTATGGGTGGCGTGGTGGTGCAGTAAGTAGCACTGTCGCCTCACAGCAAGAAGGTTGCTGGTTCGAGCCTCGGCTGGGTCAGTTGGCATTTCTGTGTGGACATATATATATATATATATATATATAGTAATGTGAAGTAAATATTTTGTAATGTGTTATCAAAACTATTATGTTTAACAATGTGTTGACAAAATCTGCTCTCTGTTTATTTATATAGCACATTTCATACACAGTGGCATTTCAAAGTGCTTTACATAAACAGAAATTAAAAAGACAAGTATAAAAAAATATAAACAAATAATATAAAAACAGATGAAAACAGTGCAAGGACAGTTTTTCCATATTCCAAAGCACTGGTGTATCATATTTTCTCATTTTACTCTGGGACTTCCCCATTCTGGTGATCACCCCCCTCTGTGGACTTTTTCAGTACCATTAATCTACAGAAAAACTGTAATATATAGTTAGAGAGGGCGAAATGACTGGTCTTAACTGGCTGCAAAATATTTGTACACGATTAGTAATAGTTAATCAACACATTTGCCTTATTTAAAAAAATCTACTAGTTTTAATCTAGCAATTATAATATTTTTTGAGATAATGTCGGTTTTTATTAACTTTTCTGTAATTTATTTCTCATTTGCTGATTATTTTTTTTATTTGATGATGTTAATATATTACATTGGCCATTTCACTGTATATACGTATCTAAAATGCTTTGGCATTCAAATTTGCTTTGAACTTGAAAGAGAGAGAAAAGCAGATTTTACCTGTCAGTGGGTGCACATAGCTCCTGAATAGCATAAAAAAGTTTTATTTCAGTGTTTTTTTAACAGTTTTTTTTTTACTTTAACCCATTGAAAAGAAACAGTTTCATAATAAGTAGAATTATAATTAAAAATGAAATTATGCTTTGTTTGCTGCATATAGTTAACTATTTATGTGATGTGGATAAATGGTGTGTTTCAATTCGGCAACCACAGGAAATATATTTCAAACCTGTGGGAAGCACTGCATACATACATAGTATTTCATGCTAACACATAAAAAAACATGTTATCTACATTTGTTACCTGTTGCTAAAACATATTAGAAGAAGAATGAGAAGAATGAGCTAGAAACATGTTAGCAACATATATTATGTTTCCAGGTCTTATTATTGTTATTCTTTTTTAACCATGTTAAAGCTAGCAAGTTTTTTTATTACTAATAAATCATTCACATTATGACTATGATGTTAAATAAACTAGGTTCTCGTTTTTAAACATGGCGCACCCACAAAATGGCAATAGGAATGTACGTACGTCACTTCTCATGGGAAAAGAGCAATCTTTAAAAAACAAACTTTATGGGATAATGTGTGAAACTGTAAGTAAACTCTAAGTAAACATATTTAACTTAAATATTGCCTTAATTTAACCACTGTAAATCATAATTTAAGACAAAATCATAAATAAATAAATAAATAAAAATGTATTTTAATGTACGTTTAATTTTACAAAGGTTTCTACGCAAAATGTTAAAAATGGGACCCCAGGTCGTTTCTAATTTCATGTAGTTGTTTTTCCAAGACTCATAAAATGTCAGATTTGTTATTTGTAAGTTGTTCACAAGTCAACCTCTGTATATTAGTATTCCTGTCAGTCTCACTGTGACTCATTGTGGCTCTTTATTCAGTTTTTGCTCACTTGCTATAATCCCTTGCAGCCTATTCTTTCTTGAATCTCTGCTCATGTGGTGTCATTCTGGGGAGAGTTGGGTAGTTTTGCAAGTCTTGGGATGTGATGTCAGAGGTCAAGGCATTTCCCTGTCTTGTTTCCCTCTCATAAGCTGCCTGTCCTCAAACACACACTGCACAGAGACTGCCAGAAATGCAGCTTTCATATTTTCTACCTCTCATCACTTTTGCCATAAGTACCATTCATTGCCAGCTTAATGTCAAAACCTCTCCTGCTCATTTCCTTTTATTTAATTTTTTCCCTCACTCACAAACACTGTCTGCCTTTCCCCTTGCTCGTAATGTGTCATAGTCTCCCTCTTTGTCACTTTCTCATTTTATACAGTAACTTCATCTGGCTTACTTGATTTCTCATCAACTAGATTTCTGAAGAGTTTCTCCTGGTTCCTAGCGTGCTCTAACACAGCACTAAGCGAATGAACGCATCCAACTGAGGGTTAAATCTGAAACCTTGTTTAAAAATATACATTTTTCCATAAAAGATTTGACTCGGAGTCGTTTAAATGGTTTGTTGTTTATCTGGATCTTTTGCCTGTTCTCATCAACGTCAACACGAAACAATTCCAAATATGAACTACCGGATCTGGTAAAATGTGAACGCACCTTTCCCTTTAGACCAGGGGTGTCCAAAGTTTGTCCTGGAAGGCTGGTGTCCTGCTGACTTCAGCTCCAACACACCTTCCTAGAAGTTTCCAGTATACCTAGTAAGAGCTTGATTAGCTGGTACAGGTGTGTTTAATTAGGGTTTAAGCTAAACTCACCTGGACATCGGCCCTTTAGGACTGAGTGTGGACACCCCTGCTTTTGACACTATTGGAGTAAAAAGGATCATGGGATTGATAATAACGCTAAGATTACTTTAGCTGCGTCCCAAATCCCATACTTATGCACTATTCTACGCCATTTTGTAGTATAAATAGTATAAGTAGTGTGTTCACATTGAAAACTGTAAAAATAATAAGTGCACTTTAATTACCCGGATGATGCACTCATTCAGCCTCTAAAATGAAGTGTGTAATGATGGACACTTCACGCACTCAACGACCGCAGGTTGGCTCACATAGCGGAAGGGGCGGAGCCATCGGGCGCACATGTTGGATAACTTTATTTGTTTTGGATGATGAAAGCAAAATTATCCTACAAGAGGGATTATAGCGCCTCCCGATGGTGAATGCGGTTATACTCACGGCAGGTATTATTTGATAATTCGGTCATTTATTTCACTGATTTGGCAACCGTTAAACGTCTTCAGGGGAACGGTTTGAATTTCCGCTTAGTAAAAAAAACATTAGTGTGCCATTTGGGACGTACATACATATACTATGCTGTTGAGTGTGTAAGTGCATAAGTACATAGTGCGTGAGTGCATAGTGTATAGTGTGCCATTTGGGACGCAGCTTATCATTGAGAGATGGTCAGACATGCGGCTATGGGGAATAATGGGTTAAAGTTAATTTTCACAACAACACCACATTATAGCCAGCTGTGTGCTGTGTTTATTCTGGTTATTTTTCTTATGATTGCTACAATAACCTACCCTGCAGTGCGGGATTTGTCGGCTGTTATGTATTAAAGGAAGGATCAGCAAAGACTTTTAATGTATGGAACTTTGTCAGTAACTGTTACACAGTTTATATGGCCCAGTGTCTTCTTCCTCCAGATATTGTGTTTCTCCTTCCTACACAACGTGAAGTGTGATTAAAATGGTTGCCTCGTTTTTTGTAGTTTGCAAAATATGTGTTTAATTGTGTAAGTTGTAATCACCCCGCGTGGCTTGTAATCACGTATCTGTTATAGATCAGTGCTTGTAATGTATCTCTGTATGGGCAATTTCACATATCACGTCCAAAACCAATTTGAAAACGCGATGCATGCTTCTTCCTTTACCGATTTAAATATGTTTTGTTCTCACGATCTCCTGCTGTTTGTTGCTATGGCCACCATCAACTGTTTCTCACACACACGACATGGTCAATTTTCAAAATAGTTCAACTTTTCTGTGGATTAATAATAAATGTGTCATTTTTATTATTTAGAGTTGTGGTTAAGAATAGAGCAATATGCTGATGTCTAACTGCATTGCTTTAATGCATTCCTGGATTGGGCTCACACAAATCACACGTTTCTTTCCGTCACGCATTGAATGCAGTCGACCAATCACAACAGACTGGGTCATCGGACCAATCATTGTAGATTAGCATTGCGGGGTTTGGGAACAAATAAATCGCTGAACAAATCATATGGGAGTTGTTGGGATAATTAGGTAAAAATAAATGCATATAATAAGATAATGAAAGTGTTTTTTGACCTTGCATGCATATCAGCCTGTTGCTGGAGACCCCCAAAACTAAAATATGACCTTTCAAACTGCGTGATAGTGGCTCTGTAATAAAGAAATCTATTTTTGCTTAAGGAAAGTAACCTTTTATCACAAGGTTCCAGTGGCATTAATGCATTATTTTCAGTACATATGTTAAAATTGTTTACTATTAGCTAATATAAATATTGTACATTTAAATACTTGTCAGCTCTTAATTAAATAAACGTTTGACTTTAATGTGTCAGTAAAAGTGCGAATGAGCTCAAACTAAGATTAGTATACTTCATAAATACTTTTTTGTGCTAGTTTAACGAATGCACTTAGACAACATAATGTTTCTGATCACTGTGTTTTTGCATTATTTTTATTTCAATAAACACATTCTACCGTCCATCATTTATTTTCCCATTATTCAGTACAGTGTAAAAAAGTGAAATGTTCAAGTTATTTACATAAAGTACATTTATGTTAATGGCCTAATAGAATTGATTGATTTCTGATACAATTGATTTCTGATACAAATAATCACATAGAAAAGAATAAAATCAACATGTAATGATTAATTGGTTATTAACTGTTTGTTTGTTAGTATATGATATTAAATAATATAATGCACATTTCAAAGATGGCACAAATTATTTCAAAGAGAAGGCTTTGTTTTTATATTCATAAATATAGAAATAAAGTTATATTTATAAGCTAACATTTTTTAGTTAGTTAACTTTATTTGTCTCTCTAGGGAAATTTAATTTGCAGCATACACTCACAGTGACCTCTGACATCTCACATTTGGCCTTTACAGTATCAAAATAAATAAATCGTTTGAAAACCTAGTACCATGGTACCCCTACTTTAAATAAATATCCAGTCTACTGGCCATCAACTGCTACTGAGAGGAGGAATTTAAAACCTTAATTGCTTGAGGCATAAACGATAATTTTGTCCTGTTTCTTACTCATCTGGGAACACAATTTCGACGTCCTGATGGTAACAATTTGAAGATGTATGATAAAGGATGTCTTTCATCATTGACAATCATTATAGCCTTTTTTTTTAAACTCTTTCTTTTTATATGCTATTAATGCTCTTCAGTTTTATTCCAAAAAACTTTCTGGCTGTTACCACCCCAGTGACCTCTTCTGGGCCTCAGAAGCAGTTCCATACCAACATATCACACTAAATGTTGCAATTGTTTCAATAAATGCACTATTAAATTGTGCTTTATTTGGCTTAATAATTGTTTGTATTTACCGTGCATGGATGTAAATAGTTTTTTTTGTTGACTAAATGATTATAAAATGGATTTTTGTACTCCGTGTACAGAGGGACAAGATAATTCTTTATAATACTTAATATTCTTAATTTTCTTTATGCATAATTATTATTTTATAATGATTCACCCTTGCATGTAGTTTTTTTCTCTTGCAGGCTGCTGGATCCTTCAGCCATACCTCAGAATTCTGTAGGGCCTAATTAACTCCAGCAAGAACAGATGCATTCATTACTGTCAATGAGTAGAGTAGGAACACATGGCTCAGATTCAGGTCTAGTGCGTTTCTTTACCCCACCATATTGCAGTTTGGTATTAATAGTATTCGGATTACCAAAATGCCTTTTATATCTGCCATTCCATTATAAATACGATGTCTTGTTTGTGTGTGTTTGTGTTTGAATAGGCCAGCTGGTGGTGTGTACCTTATGCTCCTGTGTGATGCAGACCAAACGCATTTGGCTCTTCTCTGCGCACTTGCTCCCTCTGGTGGCCCGGCTGTGCTTAGTCCCACTGGAGACCATTGTTTTCGTCAATCGCTTTGCCATGATTTTCACAGGCTTGGAAGTCATCTACTTTTTGGCCTCCAATCTGCTGGTGCCATTTAATCTGGCCAAGACTGCATACAGAGAGCTTGCACAGGTTAGAAACTGTCATGCTGTAGTAATGTGCACTAGAGACTTTCACAACTGCCTACTATAAACACTCAAGAGCTTAATGATACATATTTTTACTTGGCCATTGCAGTAGAAATCATCATGCAGTTCACTTGATATTAAATATGTCTTTTGCAAAAATCTCTTACAGTATTTACATAATTTTATTGTTCAGGTTATTTTACATTATATTTATATATAGATATTTATGCACATATATATAGATATTTAGACACTTGAATTTAAGGCCTGGAAAGTACTTAAAAACAACCAGGGGTCCTTGAAAGTGCTTGAATTTAAATTTTATGGTGTTTTTTCATGAATTTACTCTTCTGAGTTAAAAATTCTTAAATTTAAATCTCATAAATGACTATGATAAATAATGCATTTTATCAAAACTTCAGAAGCTGCATTTGAATATTACCAGTATTAAATTCAACTAATTGTATTTAGGAATGCACCAGTCCCGATACTTGGATCAGATATCTGTTTGATACTGCATATTTTGCTGGATCTGGTGTTGGCCAGCTGGTTACCTATCCAAATCCGATCTTGCGTGTGTGCTATATTCTGTGTAATATTTAAGCAAACAAAAGCTATGAGTAGCCTATTATAAGGCACTAGAAAATTGTCATGTAGGCCTACTATATTCCAAATGTTCTGAAGCTGTTCTATAGTTTAATGTGAAGTACAGGTGAATATTCAAGTGCTTAAATTCCTGTTGACTTCAGCGCTAATTTTAAATAATTAGTGGAGAAATGCATTTAGTTTTGCATTTAATGGGTTAATTTTGACCTGCAACAAGAAGTTGATTGCTGTTTCTAAATCATGTTGCGCTGTGTCTGTCAGGTCAGCAGATCACATTCGCAACACTCCACACACAAAGTAGACCTCCCTGAAATGTTTAATTAGAAAAGGCTCAATAATACAGATCCTCAACGCACCAATTTCTTCCCTTTGTGCTACTGTTTTGGAAGCTGTGTCTCAGTGATGCATGAAGCGTACATTCACGCAGTGGCTGCACAGACGCGATGTGTGCTACTCTGTATTATGTTATTCTCACAATGAGTTTCTTTTCTCTCATCTTTCTGAGTTTATTCTTCAGAGGGGAATACTTTAAGTGCTGTGAATAGTTTGTAAAGCCTGGCTCATTGTGGTCAAAGTAGTTGATTAAATTAATAAAAGTAAAACTGACGGGCGCAATATGGATTGTCATTAACAGAATATTATTTAGCCTAATATAGACTACTCTAAAACTGTGAATGTTTCACTGTAGTTTTATTTCTATCAGTATTTGACACTGAAGCATATAAGCGGACTTGTTTTGAACTTCACCACAAATCCTCTTGTTTATTTTGTAGATGAATGACCAACAAAAAAATACATTAAAATAACCAACAAATTTTACCAAACAAAATTTGTTCCAAAAAGAAAATTTTTCAGACAAAAACAGATGAACACAACTGTGCGGGTAGATGATTTGCTTCGCTCCATGGAAAATAAGTAAATATTCAACTTATTTTCATTACACATGTACAAGTACAATGCAACGAAATTCAGTTTAGGTCTAACCAGCAGTGCAATAGCAGCAAGTGCAGAATACAGGTATAAGTTATAAAGTGCAGTTATAGAAAAACCATGGTGATATTTACAGATGGATGTACTGTGAGCATTATGTAAAGGTTTTATTAGCTATGAAATCAATGTCATAAGGAATGCATAAAAGCAGGCATCATGCTTTAAGTTAGATTTTGTCATCTGTCATGTACAGTAGGCCTATAGGTCTGTTATCTTTTCTTAAGAAGGTATACTATTTGAGTTTATCACCGAGACTATAGAAACTGTATTATGTTAAAAAAAAAAATCAGCACAACATCGGGATCGGATCTTTATCAGTTGATACTCAGAATTTTGGTATCGGGATCGGATCGGTTCCAAAAAATAGTAATGGTGCAATGGTGCATTCCTAATTGTATTAAAGTTCTTTGAACATGACTTTAAAACAGTCAACACTTTTAAAAATGACACATTCAGAATCTTATCGTTGCCTTTTTTATCTAAATATTAAGTGTAAATAAAATGTTAAGTACATGAAAGACTTTCAAGGCGCTATATATGCTGGGGTGTGAATTATGAAGGTGCTCAATTTAAAATTATTACTGATTTAAGAAGTCCCTGAAAGAAATTTGGTGTTCATGAAAGAGTGGGATCCCTGGTAGTGTATGTAGAGTCGTATAGTTGTTAGCAGTGTACAGGTTTAATATGTTTTTTATCCGTGTTTACATTTATCTTTAATGAGTAGCATTGTGAAAGAGACAACTTTTTATTCCTCAAACCTCATTATTGTAGGATTTTCTCACTTTATCTTTCCTGATGCTGTTAGGTGGTGGAGGTTTATGGGCTGCTGGCTCTGGGTATGTCTCTCTGGAATCAGCTGGTTCTGCCGGTGTTGTTCATGTGTTTCTGGCTGGTTCTGTTTGCCCTGCAAATCTACACATACTTCAGCACTCGAGACCAGCCCACGTCTAGAGAGAGGCTGCTCTTCCTTTTCCTCACCAGGTGAGTGCAAGTTTGCTGATGATTACTACTGTAAATCCATAAATAAGAAGCACTACTAGTACTATTAAATGTTTGGTGTTATGAAGGTGCGCATCAACTTAACTGTGTGTTTGTTGTGCAGTATTGCAGAGTGCTGCTGTACTCCATACTCTCTGCTGGGTCTGGTCTTCACCGTGTCTTTTGTTGCATTGGGAGTGCTCACTCTTTGCAAGTTCTACCTGCAGGGTTACAGGGCTTTCATGAATGACAATACCATGCACAGGTAATATAAACCCACCTTCAGTTCAACAAAAATGTGAAGGACTTATGTTTCAGTTGCCTTTTTGGCTGCTTTTAAGACATAGTTCACCTAAAAATGAAAATGCTGTTATCATTTTCTCACTCCTAACTTTTTCCAAAACTGTTTGAGTTTCTTTCTTCTGTTGAAAAAGAAGATATTTTTAAGAATGCTGAAAAATTGCAGCCATTTACCTTCAAATGGATTTGTTTTCTTACTATGGAAGGCTACTGGTTTTCAGCATTTATCAAAATAAGTTCAACAGAAAAGAGATGCTAGAATTTTAAAAAATGTTGGAAACCAAATGGTTGATTTCCATAGCGATTCGTTTCCCCACAAAAGTGGTGAATGGCTGGCATTAACTGTTTGGTTGCCAGCATTCATCAAAATATCTTCTTTTGCATTCAACAGATTTGAAACCAGTTAAAGGTGAGTAAGTGGTAAGTAAATTTTCATTTTTGAGCAAACCATCCCTTTAAATAAATCAAAGTTATGCTAATTAATTATTTTATTTATTCAGTAATCTATTTACAACTTAAAAGAAATGTCAATGCAACACTACATTTATTTAATTATGCTTACTAAAGCTAACTAAAAATCATAATATTACTGTTTATTTTAATTTTCTATTCATGTGATGGCAAAGCTAAAAGCTGCCACTGTCCTCCAATGCATCTTCACTTAAGTGAATAATCTTTTACGATAGCCTTTTAACAGGCCATATGTGATTAATTAAGGCACATTTTTATCACTTAATTGATAGATGAAATCACAGATGTCCATCATCTCCTCTTCTCTCTCTCTTTCTCTCTCTCAGAGGCATGACGGAGGGAATCACTCTTTTGATTCTGGCTGTTCAGACGGGACTCATCGAGCTGCAGGTCATCCACAGAGCCTTCCTCTTGAGCATCATCCTCTTCATTGTGGTGGCCTCCATCCTGCAGTCCATGCTGGAGATCGCTGATCCCATAGTGCTGGCACTGGGAGCCTCCAGAGACAAGTACATCAGGATCAGTAGTGAAAAGTGTTGTCAACAGTATCAATATTTTGATTTGTATCAATACTGGAATCTCTGAAACAAGATTATTTTTTAGAGTATGGATTGCTGCGCAGATAACTTAAAATGAAAGAAAAATGGGTACTACTTTATTTAGCTGGTCCATTTGAGTATTAGAAGACTGATGTCTGCTTAATATCTGTTGATACTGCTCCTTCAACAGACATTTAACTGTCTATAAGAATTTTTTTAAATACATGTCAACTCACACTAACCCTAACCCTAACCTAACAGTCTACTTATAATCTACTGAGAATTAGTTGGCGTGTAGATGTAATGTAACTTAAATTCAACAAACAGACCATCAAAATTAAATGTGACCGAAAAATTAAGCACAGTCTGAAGTAGAAGCAAAGAGTGAAGGAAGACATTTCTTAAAGTGATAACAATAGATATTACTTAACACAATAGATTGTGTTACAATTGCAATACAATTGATATTAATCAACAACAATAAAAAAATCGTTTTAGTCATACAGTACATAAAGGCTGTAAAGAATTGTGGCATAGTTTATTACAATATAATAAAGAGAACAACAAATCTTTTTTTTATTTTACTGTATTATTATTTTTTTGTTTTTCAGAAAAACTTGACAGGGCGAGTTAAAAATCTCTCTGATCGGCTCCACGTCACTAGGAAAAGCGTCACTCCACTACTAGCACGCGCTTTTGCGCCGTGTAAATACTGTCAGTCATTGTAGCTGTTAGCCATATTAGTTTGAGCCTTAATCAGGCAGAAAATAAAGAGCACACAGCTGAACCTCACGCCTGCTCTCTAAAACAACATCTGACAAGTGTCTTTCACATATATTTAAAATAAGCATGTGTAAGAAATATGAAATGTTCACATCTTTTGTGAGTTTGTTATTTGAGATGAAGAACAATTGGAAAACTGCCGCATAGAGAGACAATCCAAGCGGAGGTGAAGGTTGTTGGTGTTTACAGCGGTTTGACGGATAAATATGAATTTTTAGCTAAATTGTTAGCGGTGCCAAACAGCATTTCCCATTGTTAACACACTGTTAACACTAGACACTGTGCATGTAACAGATACATTTTAACAAATAAAAATACTTACATGTTTGTGATCTCTCTAACCCGAATATATTTTTTGTAGCCCTTAAACTTCGTTCAAATAAAAGTTAGAAATTCCAGTATCATGACAACACTAATAGTGAATATATTTAAGTGAACATTGTAGGTCAGTGCTTTGATTCTTTTATAATCCTTTTTGTCAACAGGAGTTTGTGGAAGCACTTCCGCGCGGTCAGCCTGTGCTTGTTCCTGCTGGTGTTTCCAGCCTACATGTCCTACATGATCTGTCAGTTCTTCCACATGGACTTCTGGCTGCTGATCATCATCTCGTCCAGCATTCTGACGTCTCTACAGGTAAAGAGAACACACACACACACACACACACACACACACACACACACATACACACAGTCGTGTAATGAGAATTAATGGAAGAAGCTTTTTGACAAACAGTAGAACTTTTATGGCAATATTAGCAGTTTCAACAGATGGCAGTACACCATAATGAATATTAAATACTTATTATATTAATATGTTTACAACCAACATTACTTGTTGGTTTGTCATCTGTTTGTTTTTAAAGAGTCTCCTGTTTTAGTTACTGCAGACTAGTTCAGTAAACAGAAAGAAAGAAGAAATGCCCACATATGTTTAGCATTTTTCCTTATCGCAAACACAACAGCAATCTGGTAGTGATTGTGCTGCTTTGGATTTTTTTGGGTTAATTATTTTGATCTCTTGATTGCAGCAGAGAAATACTGGGAAATATCTGTAGACTGATGGCATTTCATGGCGTTCAGGCTTGTAATCTTAAAATGTGAGCAAAATCACCTGTTTTGTCATTACTTTAGACATTACGCTAGAGAATCACTAGCTCTAAAGTGACGTTGGTGAATGAGCAACAGTTTCTGCTGTTCTGACGTCAGCTGCAGATGTGAGTGAATGGCAGAAGAAAGTAGTTCCTCATACAAAAGCGTTTTTAGACTCTATGTGTTTGTTTTACCTATTTATATACACGATTATGCCATCAAACTGTTGTATAAATGCAATATCACACTCATAGCAGTGTAATATGGCTGTATATTGTCACTGGTGGGATAATAAGGCACACCTCCCACCAGTGCTGATATACAGACACATCGCACTGCTACTCGTTTGATATTGCTCATATTTAATATGAGATCTGCAAATGAGAATAAACAGTTTTGCTTTTGGGCTCTCTAAACTGCAGGTTCTGGGCACGCTGCTGATCTATGTGCTCTTCATGGTGGAGGAGCTGCGCAAGGCTCCGGTGGAGAACATGGACGACGTGATCTACTGGGTGAACGGCACCTACAGGCTGCTGGAGTTCCTGGTGGCTCTGTGCGTGGTGGCATACGGCGTGTCCGAGACGGTGTTCGGCGAGTGGACCGTCATGGGCTCCACCATCGTTCTCATCCACTCATACTATAACGTGTGGCTGAGGGCTCAGCTGGGCTGGCAGAGCTTCTTACTCCGCAGAGACGCTGTCAACAAGATCAAGAGCCTGCCTACAGCTTCTCTCCAACAGCTCCAGCAGCACAATGACATCTGCTCCATCTGCTACCAGGTGTGTTTGTGATGGATGTCCAGGTTCAGTCTGGAGCACGAGGCTGCCTGTGTTTTTCGGTAGTAGATTGATGGTGCGTTCGTTTTTTGGGTGCGTCACTGTTGTTCTTGCGATCCTTGAGGTATTAAACTTATGCGCATAATTTGTGCCACACCATTTGTACTTTGGACATAAATGATTTCTAATTTTGTGTAGCATGCTGATGAAAGGCTTTTTTTACGTTGGTGTTCATTTTGACAGAACATTTAGATTTTTTGACTGAAATTGTGCTATTTTAGTCATACTTTTTACAGTTGAAGTCTGAATTATTAGAATTATTGTCTCCAATTTTCTGTTAAACACATATTTAAACATAATAGTTTTAATAACTAATTTCTTATAATTGTTTTTTTTGTCTTTGCCATGATGAAAGGTCATAATATTTTACTAGATATTTTTCAAGATACTAGTATTTAGCTTAAAGTGACATTTAAAGGCTTAACTAGGTTAATTAGATTGGGGTAATTAGGCAAATCATTGTATAACGATGTTTTTTTTTCTGTAAACTATTTAAAAAGTAATATTAATAATAATAATATTGATCCTAAAATGTTTTTAAAAAAATTAAAACTGCTTTTATTCTAACTAAATAAAACAAATAAGACTTTATCGAGAAGAAAAAAATTTTATCAGACATACTGTGAAAAATACCTTGCTCTGTTAAACATCATTTGTGAAATATTTGAAAAAGAAAAATAATTATCAGGAGGGATAATAATTTTGACTTGTATACATAAACGTACAACTGTGTATACATATTCTATATTTAGTTGACTAAAATCTTACAGGTATAGTTAAATCATAAATTATTACTTATGCATAAATCTAAAATTTCTAAGCTCATTGTATGATCCTGGAGAAATCAGTTGGTTTCAGTTGACTTAATTTCATAACATTTAGCTGCACCATGTTGGCAGTAGCGATGCAAGCTTAACTGCCGCTCACGCCAAACGACGGTCGTGCCACCCTCACGTTGTTCGTGTCACCCTTTTGTTGACAAAAGTGAGGAAAAGCTGGGCGGAGTTGTCTCCATGACACCACTAGCAAGATGCAGCCCTGAGCAATCGCCCACATTGCCCATGCCTAAATCTACCACTGCATGTTGGTGTTTAGTTACATCTAATTTTTGATAGGTGGATCGTTTGCCCAATGCTCAACCCACAACCTGGAGGACCAGGACATACACACATACAATTTAGCTTACCCAGTTCACCTATAGCGCTTGTCTTTGGACTTGTGTGGGAAACGGGAGCGATCCACAAAGCAAACTCGACACAGAAATGCAAACTGACCCAGCTAGGGCTCGAACCAGCAACCTTCTTGAAAAATATGACAGAAATATTTTGACAATGAAATATACACTGTTTTTAAATGTTTGGTGGACATTGTTGGGTTTTATTGGAAAGGTGAATTGGGGTCAGTTTTATTTTGCTAGAGGGTATTTTTAGTCTTTAGGTGAACAATTAATATGTGCAAGTTAATCCAATTGAAAAAAAAAAACTTTTTTTTTTTATTCATTTTAAATCAAAACCTTACCATTAGGTTCTGCTCTGGAATGGTAGGCCTTCTCTGATGACATCAATTTGACAACTTGGGCAAAGCCACGCCCCTCCAACAGTAGTTTGCTGCAAGCAGAGGATAAGAGGAGAAGTGCAAAAAATAAAACCCCGCCCCCTACTCAATATTACATTTCAGTTTGAAATGTGTTAAAATACTGACAATAAAACATCTGCAGCAGCTTCCAGTTCACACAGACTTGAACTAAACATTTATTGTTATTATTTTAATTGTTAATAGACCCTTTCCACAAGACTGTAATGAGGAAAGAGTCACCAGTGTGTTAAATGCTTAACTTTTTAATATTTTGATTTTTTTTTATGTATGTACATTTATAAGTATTAATGTAGGTATTATATCATCTTTCTGTCAAATTAAAAAAACTAATTACCATTTTTTGCAAGGTGTTTCTAATGCAGTGTCTATGGGCAGGACAGTAAATTTGACCATTTTCTCTCTTCTGTCTGCCATTATCAGGTCCCGTTTACAATAATACATTTTAGTTTTAACACGGCGTTGTGGAATGAAACGATCTACGTCCAAACTAGTGTTTCTGAATAGATCTCCGTCCACACTTTACTGCTGAAAACGCACATCACGTGACCACACAAACACTCTGGCATGCGCTGCAGTGTATGCGGACGTCTGAGATCCAGGCAGTCAGCGGATGCTTTGAGCACATCTACCCAAATGAGAGCAGTGCATGCCAGACTGTTCATTAAGGATATACTGCTGGATCCAATCTTACTATATATGGGCTCTATTTTGACGGTCCATGCGCAAAGCGCAAAACGCAGGGTGCAAACGCTTTCAGGGCGTGTCAGGATGCGTTTTTGCTAATTTAAGGACGGGAAATCTGCCTTGCGCTTCGGCGCATGGTCTAAAAGGGTTGAGTTTATTTTCTTAATGAGTTATAGGTGTGTTTTGAGAATAAACCAATTAGAGTCTCATCTCCCATTCCCTTTAAGAGCCAGCTGCGTCGCACCAAGAGCGCATTCGCTATTTACAGGACGCAAAATAAGTCTAAGTGGAAAAAATGAGCATTTCACAAGCAAACAGTTAACAGTTGACAGTTTTTTAACAGAAAACTGTTAAACAGAGCATCTACTGCGTGAGAATGAGAGATAATGGATCTACTTTCACTTTCGCTCTTGGATAGGGAAACCTTTACACACAGACATCAATTAGTCTATAAATAAATAATTTTGTTTTTTAAACGCAAATATTTGTTTCAAAACTATTTCTAAATTCAGTTCTAATTACCTGCAAACGAATAAATGAACAACAATAACAAAATGTGCTCAAAAAACTGAATTATATCCTAATAAACATGCTGTGCCCCATATGGTCTAAAACCTGACAGGTGGGCAAATCTAAGCTTGTTTTTAATAAAACAAATATAAATATGGATATAATAAATAATACTGCTAATAATAATAATAACATTATACAAAAGCAAATTGTTATGAATGAACTGAAAAAGCCTCCCGAGATGAAAAAGACATAAAAGCAGTGGTTTTTCATATTTATGTAGGCTTGAAAATAATATGTTTTGTAATATTTTAATCCTTTATATTTATATTCAATATCTATTCTTATTATATGCTATATATATCCTTAATATTTAATTTTTTTCATATGTAAAGATATTTGCCTATTGCTCTCTTGTGCGTATTAAGTAGTGCGTAAGCTACCAAAAGACTATTGCGCCGCGCCTTGCGCCACACTGCGCCGGGTGTATGATAGGGCCCTATATGTTAAATGTGATATTTAATTCATCTTGTCTATATCTAACGACATTTTCCCCGACTTTGGTCTTTTGAGTCATTAGTTGTTTTCAGGTAACTTGTTTTGGCTGAGCACAAAGATGTTAATATATGAAGTTATATAACCACGTAGACTGATTCTGCACATTTGACTATTTGCTGGCCTTTATTGCTTGGCCTTTATTTATTATTAAAACTGATATTCAGCAAAAGAGAGAGTTTGTTTTGTATGTTTTTGTATGATCCTTTTATTTATCATACTTGCAAAGTCTGAACTTAGAAGGAAAGGATGCTAGACTGCTACCACTACCACACTAACACAGAGCAGCAGCATTTTAAAATGAAATGGCTTCTTCAGCGTTTTCAAAAGGTCAGTTTTTGGTACTCAAAAACTCTGGCGTAGTGTGGACGGATGGCGTAACGTAGTAAAACTTATGCTTTTTAAAACTAAAGCATATTTAAGTAAATGGGGCCTCAGTCTCACACAATTCTTTTCCTTTTTCCAAAAATCTTGATAACACTATGGTCGAATTTTTTGTATTATTATTTGAGCAAATAGGATTGTAAAATAAAATATTTGTTGAATTCTTCCATTCACTGTGCTCTAAGTTTACCCAACTATGACGACTTTCACTACTGAGAAACCAAAAAATGTTTAAAGGGTCCATAATAATAAATTATCACTATCCAAAATAGTTTTTGCTGTTACAAATCTGTAAAATAAATAAACATTTTTCATTTCACACATGATAATATTGTGATGATTAATTTACTTTGTGTATTACATTCAATTTATTATTACGAAACTGATATATTTTACAGTCTGCTGTTTAACAACAATAACAAGAAATTAATTGTCAATATTTTTTCTCTTTCTTATGAATATAGGACATGACGTCAGCAGTGATCACTCCCTGCAGTCACCTCTTCCATGCCGGCTGTTTGAAGAAGTGGTTATACGTCCAGGAAACCTGTCCTCTGTGCCACAACCAGCTGAAAGGCTCATCGCAGCTGGGCTCTTCATCACAGGACGTCCCGCCGCAAGACACCCCAGCTCAACCAGAAGAAGACCAGGATCCTTCAGAGCCCGCAGACTCAGAGTCAAACCTCCAGGATCTCCGGCAAGATGACAGCAGCACTCGAGCTCCAGCATCAGAGCTCAGGGCTAGACTAAAACAACAAACTGACCCTCCTGCCTGCTCCTCCTCCTAAAACCAGCTAAAAGACTGAGTCTGATGGGGTTACCATCGACTGTGAATGCTCCTCCTTACGAAATACAATCAAAACCCTTATCTACTAGTGTTGTCAAAAGTATCGATGTTTCGATACGTATCGATACTGCAACATTTCGATATGATAAAATATCACTTCCCGTAGTATTGATACCTGTCTGTCCCACTGAAGCTTAATTTTAGTTCATTTATCCAGAGTTTTAGCCGATCATTTCACAGTTGATGCACAGTTGATCTGGTTTTATCAGTTGCAAGATTCAAAGCACGTAAAACGAAGCACACTGAAAAAAATTATTAATTGGATTTACTACATTTTTTTGAAGGTAAGTGATTGCAAACATTTTATTTAGACTGAGTTTAAACAAACAAATGAAATTTAGAAATGTTCAACTTTATTATAAGCCCATATCATTTATTAAATGGTTTGTAACCACCTTAGTGCAGTAAATACAACTAATATTTTTCAGTCTGTTAGCGCACAAATGCTGAATTCATTCGACTATTTTGTGCTTCAGTGCATAGATAAATGTCAGATAATGTTAAAATGCCCTTCTTTAAAATGTAGTCAATACTCACTTCACTGAAATAAAAGTAAAAGAAATTTCTTAAAGTGACAGTAATCTGGTGCTGTCATTGAAATTCATCAACTACAAAATGTAACAACTATGGGTGTTTGTTAATTACTGATTGTTCAAATGTCAAAAATAGTGTTTTAAATTGATAGTTAGACTAGTGTAACACTGACATTGAAATTAAGAATTGTCTAAATTGCTTCATTTATTAATTCAAAACAATCAACATAGGCTCATTCTGAAATTGTAGCCCTGAATACATTTCTGGAGATTGCGAATTATGTAGCAAGAGCTACATATGGCTGCATAACATCTTTAAAACAAATTGTGAAACGGCTTGCTTACTAACTGACCGCTTCCCTCATATGGACGGTCCTTCCGCTGATACTAGTTTGTCTGGTAGCTCACCATGTACATCGGTGGACTTGAGACGGAGAATGGAGTTAACTGCGACAACAGAGTCCAGTGAAGAACAGTAAAGAACAATTCCAGAAAGCGGGTAAAACAATAACAAAATCTAAAAAATAAAAAAATTAAAAAAATAACTGGGTGAGAATGTGGTAAAATCTGAAAAATATGTTAAAAAGCAGGCGAGGGCTTTTCTTTTTTTGCTTTTCTTTTTTTAGATTGACTTATAAAACACTGCGGTTGGGTTTAGGAAAAGGGGTGGGTGTGTCAATCTGCTTTTAAAAACACTAATGGTTGGGTTTAGGGAAGGGGGAGGGTGTAGAAATCGTTCGGTCAGTCAGTCGACATTAGCCTCTGGTGGATTAATGAGTGAGAATGGCTCTCGCGAGAGAAATTTGAAATCTGAAAATGCATACACAGCAGCCTCTGGTAGATTCGTGAAAACTAAAACTGCAAAAAACGTAGCTCCTGGGACCTATTTTGCTCTCTCCAGAAATATATAGAGGGGTACGTAATCAGAGTGAATGAATGGTTGAAAGCAATGAACTTTTGCTAGTTAAAATGTTGGCAGGGCAAGTATAAAACTGAACAACTGGCCTAACCAGTCAAAAAATCCTTAACATTGAGTTATGCTTGAACTATTAACTCAATAAAGACATGTATTAATAATGTTATTTGAATTAACGATGTGGCAATATTACTTAGTAAATAGAGTATTGTATCAAGTAAAGTATGGTATTGAAGTTCGAAATTCCAGTATCGTGACAACACTAGCTTTAACACTCCCCCTTTCATCCAAACATCACAGAATCCAGATTATCAATCAGTTCACCCCTTCCACATCTGGATTAACCCGAACACCAGCTCTTCCCCTTCCTTTAATAAGAAAACAACAATCTCCAGCGAACCTGAATGTGATCACGTGACCCTTGAATATAGTGCTGTGATGCTCTGTAGGCATTAGCACATATCCACACTAGCACGCTCTCAGTATCCGATAGCAGTAGCCCGTCTCTTTTCTGTTCTCTGTTTGTTTTCTTAAGAGAAAATATATAAATATATATATAAATATATGCCACTGCATTTGCACTAATGTAACATAAAGCAATGCTCCAAAGTTTGTCTTGTCTTATACCAAATATTTTGGTGTGTATGCATTGATTCAAGTTATATACAGTGTCCTTCACTAATATTGGCACACTTGGTAAAAATAAGCAAAGAAGGCTGGGAAAATGTCTTTTTGTGTAACTTTTGTTTGCTGTTTTGCACAAATATTACAAAAACTCAAGATTATAGAGTTTGCTTTTGGATAAAAGTAGAGACTTTTTTTCTTAAAATATTATCAAACAACTTGTAGTGATGTAAGTGTCATCTGACTGTAGTTTTGGAGATGTTCTGAACCCAAAACCCAACTAACTTATTGGGGTTTTATTTTTAATTTTTGAAGACAGGCACACACATCCTCTTCTAGACTGATTGTTAATTATTTTTACAGATTTCTCTGTATTATTTCATATCCATTATATTATTTCAAACTACTAAAATATCAACATAAGTCATGTTAAACTGTAGAGTTGAATTTTCAGCAACAAAAGTTGACAGAGCAGAGATCAAGGTATCTAATAAGGCAATTCACAACCGTAAATATACAGAAAACTATATGCAAACTGTTTAACATATATATTTTTCACAGTGTAATCACCTTTTACAGTTTATCATAATAATGTGTGTACTCTGTACTTTTAAAATATTCTGGTAAAATAAATCTGGCACATAAATTTAACAAAAAAAATCAACGTGTTTAGTGATATTCTAAAAAAAAAACTCTTAAACAAAGGTTAAACAAAAGCATTTTTCACAGCTGCCTTTGCTCTTATTTCCAAAGGGTGTGGATATTAGTGGAGTGCTCTGAATGAACTATATACCCATGTACAATATACCTGTAAAAGAGTTTTGATATGCAGAAGTCCAGTGTTAAGTAGCACCGGCTGTGATGAAGTGGCCTCAGGCTCAAATGATCGCTGCGCCTCTAGTGGTGACAGACGGAGGAGTCTCTGGCTGTGGATAAACACCGGTGTGAGGTTTACGAGAGTCCGTTTCATTATCAGTGTTTGGCATTTAGCGCATCAGTGAGCATGAATACATTCCAGGATGTAGGAGCACACTTTGCGACTGCCTTTTTTATGTTAATGTTTGAGTTAATTTTTTTTTTTTTAATTTTGAACGATGTTTGAGATTTTTATTTTTTTTCTATCTGGAGAATTTTACTTTTATCTGAACTGGATTTTCTTTTTTAATTTTACAAAGCTGGTACAAATTTTGAATGAGAAAGGAGAGTGATAGCATTCTGAATTTATCCTCCTTTGCTTTTATACAGCATACACGTGGAATGATGTTCTGTGAAGGCTACATTTGTTTGAATTGCAGCTGAATTCAGTGAAAAATGCCTGAAGTCTGAACGTGAACCTTGAATGTCAGAATAAATCCAAGCCTAATGTATGAAACACTTGTTCTGTCTTTCACTGTGACTTTATGAGCTGTAAACAGAATTACAGTTGTGTAGATTTTTAACTTTTCATTTTGGAAACTTAATATCTCAACTCAATATCTCAAAGCCACTCAGAATGCAGATGAAACATAAATACTCAAATTACTGTAATTGAGTAGATTTTCTCAGGAATTGTAATTTGCGAAGTATTAAAAATGTGTACTTTTACTTTCCCTTAAGTACATTTTTTGTGCTATATCGGTACTTTTACTCCACTACTTTCCTTCAACCTGCAGTCAAGTAGGAAAATCTGAATCCTTAGATTCTTGTCCAATCAAATCGCACATAGAAAGTAAATCGCATCATACTGAACAACCTCAAGACATGGGTGCTTTATAAACGCAGCCAACCTTTTGAAAGCATTAAAATGTCCTAAATCTTTACACGCAATGACCCTGACACTTTTATAGACTGCATGTCACTGATGAGAAAATGTTGACTGTATGCTCACTGAAATTACCAAACAACCTTATAAATTACTAAATGGACTGAATGATGGAAGGGTGGACCAAATGAATGAAGGAAGGATTCAAGGAAGGACTGAACAACTTAAGGAAGGAACAAACTATTGAATGAACAAAGGACCTAATGAAGGAAGGAACAAAATATGAACGAACAAACAAATGAATAAGCAAACGAATGAATAAAGGAAGGATTCAAGGAAGACTGACCAAATTAAGGAAGTGAGTAACGAATTAGTGAATGAACAAAGGACCTAATGAAGGAAGGAACAAAATATGAACAAATGAAGTGAGGAATGAAGGAAGGATTCAAGGAAGGACTGAACAAATTAATTAAGCGAGGAAGAAATGAATGAACAAAGAATCTAATGAAGGAAGGAACAAAATATGAGTGAATGAATGAATGAAAAAATAAATGAAGGAGCAAAGATATGAATGAATAAGCGTGCAAATGAAGGGAGGAAAGACATAAAGGAATGAATGAAGGAAGGACAGATCAAACAAACAATAGAATGAATGTTGGAAGGAATGAACAAACATTGAAATATCTCTAAATTCACTACAGACTGTTACCTTCACACATCCCTGCAATCAGCTTTTTACAGCGTAATACTCACTACTCACTACTATTGAGTACTTTTAAAAGGGCTACTTTTTCACATATTTTGACTAATATTTACAACAAATACATTTACTCTACTTGCTCTACATTTTTGGCCAGGTCTGGTACTTTTACTTGAGTATGATTTTGCAGTCCTCTTTCCACAACTGTATATTTGATATTGTCCAATGTTAATTTCTCTGCCACTGTTTCTTTAAAAACGATGTTTTAATGATTTTTATTTTTTATTTTATTTTTTATTTAATTTTTTTTTGTAGGAAAGAGAAGACCTCAATTTAGCCAATGATGTGCTTTGGTTAAGTCACATGACGTGCAATGTTTTTGTGTGGCGCGATTTCTGACAGACTGGCGTTTTCTGGCGTTTATTGTGAGTGGTTGCATGGAAATGGAAACGTCAATTAAAACAAACGATCAACTCATGTCATATCCACAAAAAAATCCGAGACTTCACTTCCAGTAAGTTATGATGACATATTCACAACTTAAAAAAGTTTTCATCAAGTTAGTCTTTTGTAAATCGATCAAATGTTTGTGTTGCCATTTGGTGCATAGGGAAGCATGCAATATTGCAATCGGTTAACTTAACTAGCTATCAAGGTCGGCTGTGATCCTTTAAGGTAACAATAACAACATGAAAGCTAGTAATATGTTGATTAATTGTATGTTAATGGCATTTGCGTTATGGATAAAATTACATTTTAATAAAAATACTATTGATTAAATACAGAGAACAGTGTATCAGTGAGGATCACCATGTTCTATGGTAAATGAAAGAAGAAAAGGACAGGACTGGCTCTTCCTGCAGATGAAAATGAGGATGAGATGTGAGGTTTTAGCAACCATGAGAATGATGCAGATTGGACATTTGATGAGAGCAGTGATGGAGACAGTTCAGGTAAGTTCTGAGGTAGATAAGACAGGCGTAGTATAGTAGTGTATAATAAATAAACATTGTTAGCGGTAACACTTTTTTTTGCTGGTCCATTTGAGTATTAGTAGACTATCTGCATAAAATCTGTTGATACTGCTCCTTCAATAGACATTTAACTGACTATAAGAAACTTTGCAAGTACATGTCAACTTATATTAACCCCAATCCAACAGTCTACTTATAATATAATGAGAATTAGTTGGCATGTGGATGCAATTTAACCTAAATTCAACAAACGAAAATAAAGTGTGACCTTGTTAGCTAGCTACAGTATTCTGATGCATCTGGGCATATTAGACTTGCTATTTATTTATTGTATTTACTAGAGGAAATATTTATACATACTGTATCCTGTATACATGATAATGCGATATTCGGTTTGCTTTCAATAATATTTATCAAAAATGAATAGAATGAACGAAAGCTGTTGGAATATCAATTGTTGGAAAGTATGTTTAAGGTGTCCTTTATAAGTTCTGTGTTAGAGCTTATAATACTGCAGCACCAATTAAATCAAAACAAACAACACAATTATTAATTACAAGGAAAGTTCTAAATTTGTT